GATAAAATGAATTAAAAATTGAAAACCATACAAGAATAGCCATTAGAAAGCCAGAAGATTAATACTAAGGCATCCAAAAAGATAATACATTGAAAGGTAAATATATCATCTTTTTCTGTCATCTTAGTATTAACCTCCTGGCTTTCTAATTGCTATTCTTGTATAATTTCCAATTTTCCATTTATTTTGTCAATATGTACTTGCAGTGTTCTCTTGAAATCTTTGAAATGTGTGTAGAACGCAACCAATGAAAGCTAAAGATATATGAAGACAAATATCTTAATTTTCATCTGCTAGAGGAACAATCAGAAAAAAATAACAAAAAAATTCTGAAGGAAGTCTAAGATTTAAGTGGTACAATTTCAAGAGGAAGTCTGGTGCTACCGGACAGTGCTCCACTGCTATTCATAAGATTTTCAGTGACTAAATAATTCAATATCGCCAGTTGAGGCCTCACTTTTTACTTTAGTTCCCTCAATCACCACTTGTCTTTTCAGTTTGCTGTACTGTGGTGGCTTGTGAGTTGCTCTGATTCTGGAAGCTATACCACTGTTATTTTAGATACCAGAAGGGCCACCCATGGCGGACAGGTTTCATATAAGCTTCCAGACTTATCAGACTAGGAAGAAGAAGAAATGCACTATTTCTGAATATTTGTTGTTAAGTGCCATTGACTTGGATTCCAACCCATAGTGACCCTGTACAGGGTTTCCAATGAGCAGCTAGGGAGCTTGAACCACCAACCTTGAAGTTCAAACCAACTTTGCAGTCCCATGTATTAATCTACAGCACCACACCAGGACTGAAAAACTTACTATAATTATAGTCTTTCACTGAAATTCTAAGAGGCTTTTACAGCTAAGAGTATGTCTTTTCTAAATGAGTGTGGGCAGATTTTGACCTGTGTGATCTGTCACCTCTTTCACAGCTTTGGAAACTGAGGTTTTAATCTGCAATTTATCATGGGCCTTAAGTTATTTGTAAGCTTCAAGAACTTCAAGCTCACTTTGGACCAAAATAAGTACTGATTTTAATCGAAGAAATAATCCCTTTATATTTGAATAACCAGAAAAACTGAGTTAATTCTATATAAACTATTCTTCAGAAAATAAAATTAGTCACATCCTTCTCAAATTTGAATGTAACTACGGTACCGGGGCACCTGATATTCAGTGTAGATTATATTTTATCTTGGGACTCATTTTAAACATTACAACACATATCATAAGGAGCCTTGGTAGCTTAATCGGTTATGCATTGGGTTGCGAATCACAAGGTCAGAAATTCAAATCTACCAGCTGCCCTATGTAGGAAAGATGAGGCTGTCTGCTCTCATAAAGATTTGTTGTTGTTGTTGTTGTTGTTATGTGCCGTGGAGTATAGCGACCCTACACAGGGTTTCCGAGGCTGTAAATCTTTACGGGAGCAGACCGCCTCATCTTTCTCCCGCGGAACTGCTGGTAGTTTCGAACTGTTGGCCTTGCGGCTCACCGCCCTATTCGTAACCACTACGCTACCACAGCTCCTTTCATAAAGATTTACAGCCTTGAAAACCCTACCCAGGGTAGCTATAAGTCAGAACTGACTAAACAGCACGCAGTAGCAGCACCAATGCAAACATCATCATTTATTCATCATATTTCCTGAGTATTAATCTAACAATTTACATGAAAAAATAAAATAAGGGGATTCGTTTCTGAACTTATATTAAAAACATCATTCTGTGATTTCAGACTCACCTGTCCTATCTTTTTCACTATGCAACATTGCTATAGACTCATCTCAATGCTTCTAAAAATTTATTCTCTTAAAATTTGTAGTTAAGAAAATGAGGACGGTGGAAAGCCAAAAACCTGAAGAATAATATTCTCAAAAGTTGTTTCAGGCTGTTATGTATAATTATTTTAAGTTAGACATTATACTTTGCATTGGAGAAGAAGTTCTGTAGAAGCCTGGTAACATTAGCAAATGCAAATTAGATTATTCCCTTGCTGCTAACTTAGTAAATGCACAACAGATAACTTTATATTTTCATCACAGGGAAATCGGCTTGTTAGAATTTTTGGCACTTATTACATAAATGTCATCATGCAAAAGCATTCAATATCCATTGTGAAAGTCTTCAGTAGAATCAGAACTGTGATTTCTAAATCAAAATCAAATTCCATTTAATCCCTGTCCCCAAAGACTTTGGGGACACACACACACACAAAAACAAAAACAAAAATCAAGGAAAAACTTACCTGCTCCTCTGGTATGATTGAAATCTCCCTTAATGATTTTACATGACTTCCCATTGCCATTGCATATCCCACAATGATCTTCCCTCGCAAGAGATCCCAATAAACCATCACAGCCAACTTTCTGTAACAAAAGAATGACAGCACATACCCAAATGAGTTGTTTTGGTTTCCCACTTAGTATTATGGAGTCCTGGTATGGTGCTGTAGGATAAGCACTAGACTTCAAGGTGGAGATTCAAACCCAC